AAAAAAAAAAAAAAAGATTACAATTAATTAAGCAGACTGTTTCTTCTCTTTGCACATAACTTAGAGTTTAGCAACACAGAACTAAACCTCTCTTAACAAAAAGCCAAAAAGGAAAACATATCAAGGTAGCAAGATGCCGTTTCCTCTACCAATCTGACAAAAACACCACCGTGTTTAGGTGGGTGTTTACCAAGAGGGTCTGTTTTTATAAATATAAGACAAGTAAAAAAAGACCAAAAAGGGCAACTCTAGCTCTGCCCAGACACCAGGGAGGAAACTGCTTTTCTCCCCCTTTTCTTCTTAAATATACCTTGGCACACATATTGATACAGTCTGGTGAACTTCTCTTTCACTCTCGTAATTATTAAGGGCTTGTGTCCTGAGGTAGACGGTCCAGATAAGTTAACTAATGATCCTAGTCTTCAGTAGTAACATGATCCTTTGTAAAAATCTTACTCCTATATTTACTGCAAAGACAGCCCATATTCATGCAAAACAAGGATTACTATATAACCTTCTACGTCCAAAATATTCTTATTATTAGTCCAACAGACAGGTGTTATTTCTGATAAGACTATATTTTATAGAATATTTTTCTCAGGGGCCAGCCCCGTGGCTTAGCGGTTAAGTGCGCGCGCTCCACTACTGGCAGCCCAGGTTCGTATCCCGGGCGCGCATCAACGCACCGCTTCTCCAGCCATGCTGAGGCTGCGTCCCACATACAGCAACTAGAAGGATGTGCAACTATGACATACAACTATCTACTGGGGCTTTGGGGAAAAAAAAGGAGGAGGATTGGCAATAGACGTTAGCTCAGAGCCGGTCTTCCTCAGCAAAAAGAGGAGGATTAGAACAGTTGTTAGCTCAGGGCTGATCTTCCTCACAGAAAGAAAAAAAAGAAAAAAAAAAGAATATTTTTCACAGAACTAATTATTTAGTAGAGTATTTGAGGAGAAGAGCTGTTCTGAACTGTACTGTCTCAGTGACACCATGTAAAAGTATTATAAATCTAGGCCCAAGAATCACCAAATTGTGTCATTAAATGCATGATTTTACTGAGGAAGTGTTTTAGCCATGGAAATAATTTTCAGAGTAAAATACACATTTTTAAATAGCACTGATTGCTGGTCAGTGAGTAGTATTCTCAAATAATAGGTCATCAGACATTATCTTTATTCGTGTCTGGGAAATTTTCAAAGCTAAGATTAGAGGTCAAGTCATTAATTATGTGGCCTTTAAAAATAAAGTATCTGAACAGATACTAAATCCCTTGAGCAAAAATAAAATTACTAGAAAGCAAGAACACTCAACAACAAAAACATGTTTTTCCATGGCCACACACCCCTGAGGTAGCTATATTAGACTGTGCCAACTTCAAAGGCCAGAGAGATGTCACCGAAGCTGGCCAATTTACTATAAGCTTAAGGACATCTCAGCCACAAAAGTTTTAAACAAGGATGAGTGTTGAGGAAACTCAAATGTCTACCTCAGAGAGTAGTTAAATAGTCAAAATTCAACAAAATACTTAGGGAGAAACTTGGTTTACCTCAATTTTAAAAATGCCAAAGATAGACCTCATGAAGATTGGAAAGGGCCCCAAGAAGCATTTGGATTTCTGGGAAAAGTCTTTAGAAAACACTTTATCTGTTGTTAAAAAGGCACTAACTTATTAGATGCTATTTTGAAGATAAAGGATATATCATGATAATGTAATTATGAGTCATATACTAAGTACACAGTTTCTCAAAGTAGAGAATCTCACAGAGATCCTGCCTGAGAGTTTATGAAAGCTAAATGGTAGATAAAGGATTCTGGAGTTCAGAATGTGCTACAAAAGAAAAATAAACCATGAAGAGGGAAATTAATTTCATATGACAAATGATATGCAGAAAATGTGATTACAATACTCAGGATTATATAATCTAGATTAGAGTCACTGCTTTGTAAAAGGCCTCTACACTGGAAATCAATGACATGTGGCCCTGCACTGTCAAATCCCAAGGACTTATAGCCTGCTGTTTCATTTCCTCATTTATTTGTAATTACGCTATCTGAAAAACATAATTTTATGATGGCTTTTGGCTTTATTTAAGAAACATCAGAGGCTATGTTCTAAATTGTCCTGCAGGTTGGTAGATGACTTCCACTTTCTTATGACTCAGCATGAATCAAAAGTGTTGTTTACCTGCCCAAAACACAATCCAGGATCAGTGCCAATGTTGTCTTTTGGGTACACTTTGAAAGTATGGTCACCTGGACATCCACTATTCACAGACAATATGCTTATGATAATGCATTTTGTTTGGGTGGGAAGCTTTTAGAGGATGTCTGAAAACATCTTCTAATGGCAGTTAGGGCACCCACAAAATAAGTGGCAAAGGAAAGGCTGCGTAAGAACCAGCCTCTCTTTCTTCTTTGCCTCATTCCACTATTGATGAAAACTACTTGCATGTGTGCACAAAGATCTAAGTGCAAAAAAGTTTTTACTTCAAAATTTTTTAGCAAAAAAAAAAAGAAACAGGGCAAGGCCTGGTGGCCTAGTGTTTAAGTTCAGCATGCTCCACTTCAGCAGCCTGAGTTTGGTGCCTGGGTGTGGACATACACCACTCTGTTAGCAGCCATGCTGTGCTGGTGGCCCACATACTAAAAAATAGAGGAAGACTGGCATGGATGTTAGCTCAGGGCAAATCTTCCTCAGGGAAAAAAAAAAAGAAAGAAAGAAAGAACCTAAATCCCTTAGTAAAGTAGAATGCTGAACAAGTAGACTCTTCTGTTATTAGAATAATGCAGAGTAGATATTCTGAACACTCTTCCTGATTAAAAACAAAGCAAAATAAAATTTTTTTAACATTTTTCTGAGCAAACACAAATGAAAGATTTCACAGAGGCCCAACATGAAGTGAAATCAGAAATTCTGGAAGGTAAGAAAGCAATAAATTGGCTTTCACCTTGTTTCTGCTGAATCCTAGAGACCTTGAACATCCACACTGGCACAGAAACAGGAGATAAAACCTAGGGGCCATCCAAAGTAAGGATGCTTTTAGGAGACTCCTCAATTAAAGTCAGGTTCCCAAAGGGCTCCACCTTCAGTCTAAGCGTGAAAAAGAAATGAACTTGCCTCTCACTAAGGTAAAATAGAAGAAACTTGACTATC